TCGCCCCGGCGCAAGTGTGACCCCGATCCTGGATAGCGCGCGCAGGCATCGCCTATCCTCCAAAGCCCCCCCCCGCGCCCGACGGCGGCGCAACTGCCCGAACTCCAGCGAAACCTGCCCTACCCGCTCGGAGTTGGACCTCCGCTAGTCGCGCGAAGCCTCCAGGCAGTGCTCTCGGATGCAGAACGCGCGACGGGCTCCAACACATCTGCAATAATCCATTGAGAGGCCCATGGGAGAACAGATGTGCCGCGACGACAGAGTCGACCCTCTGCATCTTACTTCCCACTGGTGATGCGGGGCCAAAGCTCGACTGCACCTCTGGCGCCACTTGCTGCGTCACCGATTTCGTCGAAGAACGCACCGCGAGAGCAAAAAAACGAGGTGTCAGCCCCAAGCCCGTCGCCTCGCAAGACAGGTCATCGGGGCTGCAAAACATGCCCTCGCGGCTGGAGTTGCCAATGTACACGGCGCTGCCATCGGCGCACTCGCTGCAGTGGGCCTTGCCGACCCGGCGGCCGACCCTGCGGATGGGCACGCGCACGTCGCCGTCGCTGGCGCGGCGTTGTCCTCCAAACCTGCGAGGTGACCATCATCGCCTCGAAGATCCTATCCTGACCATGTATTTTCGTTAGCCGCATCGGGCCCCACGCGGAAGAGAGGTACTACAGGCACTTCTCCAGGCATAAGTAGGCCATGAGCCAACCCACTTTCCTTCCCAGAGCCAGTACCTGTGTTACGTCTGCGTTTGGCGTACTTGTCGGCAGCCTCGACGCATCGTCCGACTGCTGCTCGCACGACATATCATTGTTTATGGCTGTCATTATTATTGTTGTTCGAATGGCTCGCCAATGGTGTCACGACATCACTGTCGCAGCCCTTCCATGTCATCTGCATCCCTGGGGACTGGCGTGGGCTCCGCCTGGGATTGGGCGGCCTCGCCCCCTGGGACTGCCTGCGCTGCCGGTGGCTTATCAAGTGGTTTGCTGCTCTGGTTCGTCTGCTTCTGCGCCTCCACCGCAGCGTTGGCCTCCACCTGCGCCGGCAGCTTTTTGAGCGATTCCAAGCAGCCCATGGTGGCGAGGGCGCCGCCCGCTCCCACTGACTCGAGCAACTCCCCAAATTTGACGATCGGCATGTCCAGTGCGGGCGCCATGGCCTCGAGCGAGACCGTGCCGGCTGCTGGGTGTGGAACCTGAGCCGCCACCTGCCGGCGCTGCTGCTCCAGCGCCAAGATGTCGGCCTCCTGTTGCGCGATGGCTCTTGGGCAACCTGGTCCTCGATATCAACCTTATTCTGCTCGAGGTCCGCCAGCGTCGCCTCGTGGGATTGGCGCTGCCTGCCCAAGCCAGCGATCCGCTAGTTAGCGTTTTTTTAGCGTTTCGACATTGGGCGGAAGGGGGGGAGGGGGAGGGTCTGGCTCCAGACCGTTGCTTAATGCGACTGTTTGTAACGACGTGTCCGATGGGGGAGGGACTCCACCTGCTCGAAACAGGAGCCCAAAAAAAACAAGATCTACTCCAGAAGGGGGGGGGGGAGGGGGCCCGCGCCGATCGGCAAAACGGGAAAAAACGATCACCTACTTAGAGTGGTGCGCCTGGGCCGAGCACGGCTCGTGGGCCACCCGCTGCTCGCGCATGGGGCCCCGCTCCTGGACGAGGTTCCGCTTTCAGCACCACCACGGATGGCTCGCTGCACTTGCCGAGCTGCTTGAGGGCGTTGGCTGTCTCCTCGGGCAGACAATTTCTTCTCCTTGTCAGCTGGGGCCTCGTTCGCTTGAGGGGTTTTCCCAGCCTCCGAACCTCCGGCATGCTGTCGAACCTGCTCCTTGAGCTTCGCGATCGCCTGGTCCTTGGCGCGGAGCAGGGCTTCCTTCTTGCTGTTGGCAGCGTCGGCACGAGCCTGTGCTGCCTCTGCCGCAGCCGAGCGTACTCTGGGCGCTCCCCGCAGCGGCTTGTTCCCCCAAAAGGCGACGCCTTTTGCCGAGTTGCATGATGTGCATGTCGTGCAGTCGCCTGTTCCACCACTTCTCTCCCGTCCGCGGGTGCACACACCAACAGTATGACCATGATTGGGCCCATGCTCGACGCTGGGCCGCACCTGATGTCGGCGGTATGGCACGAGGACCATTACCATGGGCACAGCACCTGGTGGAGCGAGGGCGCCAGGGAGCCCGTGTGGCACTGGCAGTGTGGAAGGTGCACAGCTGCCTGCGCAGAAGGCACTGAAGCTGGCCGCGGACTAGAGCATACACCTGTTTCGCAGGGAAGCACAAAACCTTGCGCCAAAATGGCTACAGTCGGCGAGGGAGGAGGAGGAGGAGAAGGAGGAGGAGGAGGAGCAGGGCGAGCTCCAGCCAACCCTAGTCCGAGCGAAGTCAAAAAAGGAGGAGAACGAGGAGCACGAGGGGGAGGAGAAGGAGGGGAGATGGAGGAGGAAGAGGAGGAGGAGGAGGAGGAGGAAGAGGAAGAGGAGGACGAGGAGGACGAGAAATAGGAGGAGGAGGACCAGGGGAGGTGGAGCAGGAGGAGTGGGGACGGCCAGACTAGCGATAGCTCCGCAGCCCCTGCCGCGGGCCCCGGTTCTTGGAGAGGCTGGAAGGTTCAGGTCCACGTGGCGCTGCCACATGAAAGTGGCTCTAGGAGAATTCAGATTCGAAACAATGATCGCGCGCCCCCGCATTCGATCCTCCTCCTCCTCCTCCTCCTCGGTCCTCAACCCCCTCCTGCTCCTCCTCCTCCTCCTCCTCCTCCTCCTCCTCCTCCTCCTCCTCCTCCTCCTCCTCCTCCTCCTCCTCCTCCTCCTCTCTCCTCCTCCTCCTCCTCCTCTCTCCTCCACTCCTCCTTCTCC